GTGTGGCACTAGAGGATATCAGAATGGCAAAGGGCTCTACAACTAATTCTGATGGTGGCTGTGACAGCCTGAACCCCTCAGTTGAAAATTCTGAGCTGATATGACCAGACACAGAGGAAAGCGGTTGCTGACACTGGGCACAGAACTGCCATGGGTACAAAACTGTCATGGGAACAGAACCAGGAAGAAACAAGCTCAAGCCCAGAGATGCCTCTTGGTTGCTAGTTTTGATGCAGACCAATTATTCTTTTAAATGACTGCATTTAACTGTATTTCATCTGTTTGTGTTGTATTTATTTAAAAGAAAAAGGCGCTCACAGGCTGAAAACAGCATCTTATCTGATCACAATGATCACATCTTCTCAGATAGTATCAAAAATACTTATTCAATAGATTTTTATTGGACATCTGTCAGCACTGTTAGACACCCTGGGTGATACAGAGTCTTTGCCCTCAAGGATTTGGTACATAAAATGCTAATTACAAATTTAGTTATAAGCAAAGTAGGACATGGAAACATGACACAAAGAAGTAATAATGTCTGATGAATGTTCAGCCAATAAAAACTGGGAGTATTGGGGCGGGGTTGTTCTGGGACCTGAATCACCCTGAGGTTCTCCTAAAAAATGTAACAAGTTTCCCCTTTTGGTGTATAAAATAATTCAAGCATCTCTGCATCGTTCCCTTTCACTAGAAATAACTTTGAATGAGAACAAGTTAGTGATAGTGGGAAAGGGAGAAGAAAAAGGACAGAACGTTTGGATAGGTATATTGATTTAAAAGAAGGAAGAAATGAGTTGAGGGGCAGAGGAGCAGGAGAAGAATAAAAGGGTAAAGAGAAGCAACAAAGAAAAAGAAAAATTGAAAAGAGGGTAAAGGTAAAGGGGGAGGAGGAAAGGAACTGACAGTGTCCAGAGCGGGAAGAAAAATGGAGGAACAAAAGGAGAGGGGGAGGAAGAGAGAGGGGAGGGGTAGGGGGAGGGGCAGGGAGGAAGAGGAAGGTAGGAAAAAAGATGGATCAGGAACCTCATTTTAAAGCAATTTAGAAATAACTAAATTTTTTCCCTATACACTTTATAAACACATTTTAGAAATGAAAAGAAAATCATAACAATGTACTCAATAATTTATTATATAAATGCTCACCAAATATTTTCAGATTGTGTTTAAAAGTGGAAATTAAGTTGTGTCGATAATAATTCTTTAAAAAAAAAAAGGTGGGGGTGTTTATAGGAGAGCTGGGTGAACCAAAATTCTCTGTAGATTGTTAACTCATGAAAATTAGGAGTCACTTTTAGAATTGTATCTCAGTTTAGTCAAACAACCATTTTAAACAAAAATGCCATACTATTAGGCTGAGTCTCTTTGTAAATCTGGTTTGTATATGAAGACAGATTGAACTGTTTTAAATTAATTTTTTGGTGATGAAATACTAGTGAAATTATATGTCTTAATTTTTAAATTTTAAAACAACAACAATAAACCCCAACATAGCAACATTATCCCTGGTAACTCTGAAATACTTGTGGCAGCTCCTGAAAAAAAAATCCTAAACAGAAGTAAAGTCAATTAATCTCATCATTAGAGGTAAAATTTTTAAAAAAGCAAACGAAAATAATTTGCTGTTGAGTTAAAAATTTCTTTTAGTCTTAAAATGTATAGATGTTGTGTAGCTAAAATGGAAACTTCATGCAGTTTGACACGTAACTGATTCATTTTAAATTAAAATAATTTAAATATTTAGAAGATATGTTGATTTCAAGTACAAAATTGTCTCATTACTGTTTCCACCTTAATATTTATATATGGATTCCTTCTTTTTTGTTGCTTTTTACAATTTGTTTCATTTTGAAAAATAACATTTTTCCTTGTCTTTTCTTGAATTACACAATTCCCCCCCAAATGAATCAGTCGTATTTTGTATTTTGTGCTGCAGGAACCAAACAAAATTGTACATTATCTTTTAATCCAATGACTTTGGAGTACAAAAAATTGCAAAAGGTAATAAGAATGTAATGCGAAGGATGTTACAGACCATTTCTTCTACATGTATTAACAGGGGTTGGGTGGAGTAGCTTAATTTACTAACAAAATGAATTTGAAAACATATATTTTTAAAGTTAATAAAATAAATGATCCCCCTCCTTACCTAAAAGTTTCTACATTGTAAATCTGAACCAAAACAAAAAATTGAGAGGTTTTGTCAAACACACTGTGTGACCCACAGAAAAACAAACGATTGTACTTAAAGTTCTTTTTTCCCCTTGAGCCTCTTCTATCTCTGGAATAAATACATTTCTTTCTCAGGTCTTAAACACTGAACACTTTTGAATGAACAACAATTTGAAGGAGAAAAATTTCCTTTTCTACTTACAGTTTGCTTACATTTTATGAGATATCCTAAACACATACTTATCCTTATTTATTTGACAGGAGAAAAAGCTGCATGTGCTTTTAAACTGGAACTAATTTACACTTTCTCAAAGTTTATAGGCATTTAAAAGAACCACACTAAGACTTTAAGTTGCAAGAAGAAACAAAACATCCCAAAGTAGTAACAGTAAAAAACCAAGCAAGCAACAACAAAAGTAAATAAACAAAAACCAACCAAACAAAAAACAAATTCCTCTAAAAACTTTGAGGTTAAAGCAGCAATGTATCAGGAAATGTGAGCTTTTCTTTTTTTGTATTTTGTAGCAACCATAATTTTATTCCAAAATCGACGGATTCATTAGAAAATAAAGTGTATTTTAATGTATTTCCCTCCTAGCTGCTTTCCATTTGTTTTGTTCTTTATTTTGTAAAACATGCTAAACTTTAAAAATAGAAGAGTCAATAAGTGTTAGACTTAAAATGCAATATATATTCTGGGGATTTATGCAAAGGAGCTAACCCAAAAAAGGAAAAATTTATATTCACCAAAATATCTGTTCAGCATTGTTTACAAAAGTAAAAAATTTGATGAAATGTATGTCTAAATATCATGATTAATAATTTACATATATAACTGGACTGAATTAAAACGATAGTTATGAAAACTTGGAGGCAGCCTGGGGAAATACTTATGGTACAAATGCAAGTGAACAATGAAGATATAAAAATGAAAAAATTTGAAATCATTATAAATGGACAAATGCTGAAAAATAAACATTTACAAGTAAAATTAATTTCTATGACAATAGTGAAATTATTTTTAATTTTTTCTATTTTTTTCATTTTTTTAAACTTTTTTTCTTTCCTTTTTGTTTTTCCTTTTCTAACTTAGCTTATTTCTCCAAGAAAAAAATATTATTTTATTTTCATCTTTAAAAAAGTTGTTTTATTCTCTCAAACTTTTTTTCTCTCTGCATGTATTTGTATGTTCACATTGGAGGAAAATGGATTCGAATCCTATCTTTAAAATTGAGTCAAATGTCAGTGTTTCTGAATTCAGATAATTAAATTCCATAACTAGACCAAACTGTTCTCCAGGAAAAATAAAGAAGAAGAGGAAGAGGAGGAGAACAAGAGGAAGAAGTGTAACAGTATTAACATTACTGTGTAGAATATACATTATATAGGATATGTATTATAAAGGATAATAATTATTAAAGAAAAAAAGAACATTTAATCCTGTAGCTATATTTTTAACTCTTACCCAAGTTAAGTGTAACTCTGCACTAAAGATTTATCTGTCCCAAAGAAGCAAGGTAGAAAAAAATTTGAAAATAAATACAATGTTTGATAGTAGTCTTTAATGTTAACAAAAACAAAGAAAGATGAAAAGTTATGGTACCTCAAGTCTGCCCATTTTTATCCCTAACCTAGGAATGTCAGTCTAGACAAGAAATAACCCTTAATGTGAGTGCTGGGCTCCTTCAGAAGGGAGAGATAAAACACCAATCAACGTGATTTAGTTCCCCCAACCCCAGCCTAAAATACCCAGGTCACTAAGGCAAAACTGATTTGGGGGTTAAAAAGATCTGTATCTCACTCCTGTTGTCTCCTCTCTCCTATTCCTGCAGCCTTTGCAGCTTCTGACTATACACACACATTTTTTTGGGGGGGTGGAGAGGATTAGAATTCAGTAAAACAGCTGATTTTTAAAAAAGAACTAATCAGTTTCAATTTAGCAATAATTGGTAATTTTTAATTAAATATTTAAAAGGATTTTAAAATAGATTGTTCCAGTGAATTTATATGTTCTCTTCTAGCGTTATCTTAAATACATTAAAACTGACTTCAGCTAACATTTAGCTGGTGTATTTTTAAATGGAAAAAATCAACCTAAAAGTGAACTGAATTCAATGGTTATTTTAAAAAATTTTGTTTCCCATTGACTCTAGGATAGTAAAAAGTGGACTGCATTTTATAGGAGTTTAGAGGTCTGGATGGAGATTTTTTGTGGGGTGTAACTTGCTTTTGTTTTAGGCATACAGAGACAGAGTAGTGGATATGTCCCCCAGGGAGACAATCTGAGAAGTGCTTTCATTAGCACCTAGAGACTCAAATAAAATGAAGGAAACAGCACTTAAAGTTTCTGAGAACTGGGATGCTCTGCCTAGTTGCCCTCCTCCTTGTTCCCCCAATATAACAGAAAAGATTTAAGATTGGGGCTCCTCTTTAGGAAAAGGCCAAGAAATACAACAGCCTTTTTGAGACCATCTTTTAGTCCTTTCAAAAGTCTACACACATCACCAAGAAAAGTTCCCGGGCAACAGAGCCACATGTTCTGGCCAAGATAATTTTTTCCCTCCCTGGACTCTAATTTTCATGAATTCTCTTTGCAGTGCTGTTTGTATTAGCTTGTTTTTCATTTAAAAAATGTTTATTGAGTGCCTACTATGTGGCAGGCACTGTTTCCAGCTCACTGGTTTGTTTAAAAATAATGCTTGTGATCAAGAGCTAAGTATTAAGAGTCAGATAAGGGGGGAGGGTCGGAGGTGTGTGTGTGGGGGTGGGACACAGATGTCTTCCCACCTTGTTGGACAGAAAATATTCTCTTTCCACTCAACAACAAATAGCTTCTAGTACTTTAATTCTTGTTGTTCCATGGGAAAAAAAACCCCACAAAAACAAAAATCCGACAAACACGTGGCTGGGTAGAACAAAACGCTCATTGGGGAGGGTGGGCTCTAAGGTGGTGGAGGAGATAGAGAAACCGAGTTGGAAGCCCTCCCCCGCCCCCAAGTCCCAGCCCCATTTCTTTTCAGTGCGCCGGGAAAACGGGGAGGGGGACAAAGGTGCTGCGTGCTGTCTTTCAACTCCCGACTTTTTGAATGGCATACAATCGTCCGGCAGCAGAGCGGTGAGCCGAAGTCGGAGTCAGCTCAGACTCTGCAAACGAAAAATAATAACAATAAAAAAAATTCAAGGCATTCATATTGGTGTAGTCAACACGTGTTGCGGAGTCTGCCCGGGCCGCCGGCGACTGAGACAATGGGGTCGGGGACTGGGGAAGGGGAGTGACCCCCTTCCTCACCTGCCCTTCCAGCACGCGTGCCCCCGACAGAATTATTCTCCCTCCTGCAGAGTCCGGAGTAACACCCCAGTTTCCGCCTTGTTAAGGGGACTCCACAATTTCTGGGGGTCGACCCCTCCTTTTTCCCCGTTCCCTGGGCGAGGGGCTTCCAGGGTCTCCGGGCCGCGCTCTCCGCCACCCCTGGCGCCATCCCAGCCCCCGCCGCTAGAAACTCGTTGCTCTCGCTCGCCGCTCCGCCGTGGAGCCAGGGCTTGCGAGTGGACCGCGCGTCCCGCTCTCCGCCGCGTATCCGGGACTCCGAAACGCGCGGCGAGCAGCCCCCTCCCCCACCGCCCAGACGGGGGTGCGACCGCCCACGTGTCGCCCCTTGCCCAGTCGGGTCCTTCCCTCGGGCTCCCGGAGCTGGAGGATCCGGAATGAGTTGGTCAAAGCCGAGGGAAGGGACCCGGGCGGATCCGCTTCCCCCTCCCCAGGAACGGCGGGAGGGGGAGAGGAGGGGCCACCGCCCCCTCCCCTAAGCTCCCGCCCCTCGCTTCCCAGTGGGCCGAGCGGAAATTACCCCCTCCCCCCGCGGGTCTGACCTGGGGACGTGGGCGGGGCTTCGCGCTTAGCCCCCCGCCCTCCGTCCCTCTCCCGCCTTCCCGCCGGGTTCGGAATCCTGCACCCCAAACAAAGTTCCGAGACCCGAACCTAGGGCCCAGAGAGCTGCCAGCAGTGTCCTGGGTGGTGCGGGCGCTGGAAACTCCACCTGTCTGTCCCCGACTCGGAGGGAAAAGGGGACCATTCAAATCTCCACCCGGTCACTCCCTCCCTAAGACCTCCCCCTTCGGTTCGCTCGGGTTAGCCCTAGCTATCACCCCTCTTCCTTCTGTCCCACTGTCCCTCTCTCCTGGGGTCATCTCCGGCCAGTTCCGCGAGTTCCCCCCAGGACCCCGTAACGTTATCATTTAACAGCCGGACCCCGGGTGCGAACCACCCTTTCTCCCGTGGGGATCTCAAAACATGATTTCCCGCGGCTTCCTCGTTCTCCACTGGGATCCCCCGTGTTCCCAGCTTCCCAGTCCCGCGCTCGCAGGGTTCCCCGGTCGTGCATCCCCGGAGGCGGGGGAGTTTAGTGGGGCTGGGGTGGTGAAGGCAGAGACCCCCCCATTTAAACATCTAGGGAAAAGGTGGCTTTCTTTTTAAATCACCAGCTCGTGCGACCCTCTCCTGAAGACCCCAGAGTCTTCGGCTTCTCTTTGTCTATCTCGGCCGTCCCCCGCCTGTCAGTCGCTAGCAGTTAACCGGGGTGGGGTGAGCAACCCCGCCCCCCAAAACGAATAAAAAATAACCGTACATTTTACCCTTTAAGACCTGGGAGATCTGGGCTGGACCATTCTCCCCCAGTTCGGGCTGGGGTAGGGGGATGGGTGGGGGCGGGGCGCTTCCCTAGGGGCCAGGTTCTTGCAAAGGGGGAAGGGGCCATAGAGCTTCAGGGACGCTGCCCCACCGCCCCAGTTTACCACGGGGGTGAGTTGAGTTCTCCACCCTCAGGCGGGAGATTGCTGGGTTTGGCCGGAGGGCCGAGGGGCCCTGTGGCGTCGGGGGTCTTCCCCTGCAGGGTGGGTGGGGGCTGTCACCACGTGGCTTCTCCTTTTTTTTTTTTTTTTTTCCGCTCCATTTTTTTTCAAGTCGATTTTATTTAGAGGCGGCGCCAGGGCGGCCGCGGAGAAACGTGACACACCAGCCCTCTCGGAGGGGTTTCGGACCGAAGGGAAGGAGCTGCGCCGCGTCGTCCGTCTCCCTGCGCGCCGCGGGCACTTCTCCCGGGCTCTCCCCGAACTCTCCCGCGACCTCTGCGCGCCCTCAGGCCGCCTTCCCCGCCCTGGGCTCGGGACAACTTCTGGGGTGGGGTGCAAAGAAAGTTTGCGGCTCCTGCCGCCGGCCTCCCCGCCTCTCGGCCTAAGAGGCTTGCCGCCCGCGTCCACTCGTTTGGCCTTGCCCGGGACCGCGTCCTGCCCCGAGACCGCCACCATGAACAAGCTTTACATCGGCAACCTCAACGAGAGCGTGACCCCCGCGGACTTGGAGAAAGTGTTTGCGGAGCACAAGATCTCCTACAGCGGCCAGTTCTTGGTCAAATCCGGCTACGCCTTCGTGGACTGCCCAGACGAGCACTGGGCGATGAAGGCCATCGAAACTTTCTCCGGTAAGAGCACAGCCACCTCCCGGAAAAGCCACAACGAAAGCCCCGAACAACGGAGACCCGCACCTTCCGGTTCCTCTCCCGCCAACTCCTCTCTTCCCGGGCCTGCGGGGCTTGGCCTCTGTACCCAACCTCGACCTACCCCCTTCGATGCCCCCTCCCTCGCTCTGCGCCCCCCACCCCCGCGCAGAAACATTCGGGATTTCCTCATCCCTTCCTCCCAGCCCGAGATAAGCAGCTCTGGCTTCCCCCATCCCTCCTCCCCACCGACGGGGCGGGAGCCCCCACTGGCAGTAGTGGGGGGGTGGATTTAGGGACACGGAGATGACCCCCGGCTGGGCGTTATTTCCACGTCCAGCCCCTCCCTGTCCGCCGGTGGACGGCCCCCCAGCTGGAAAACCCTGGCTCTCCTTCCTCAGTCTTAGGCCTTTCCAGGCGTGGAAGGGGTCCCCCGGACCGCTTGCGATCTCTCCGTTTAGCGTGGGGAATGCAGCCCTCTAGCAGGACTTGCAAGGAAGGGGGTCCTGCCTCCTGCCTAGGGCCTGGGGCTTGAGCCATTTTGATTTGAAAGTGGGGCGTGAGCGGAGTGGCGCGGCGGCGGCGGCGCCGGGTCGCCATGCTGCTTCCCGAGACGCCGAGGCTGGGCCGAGAGGCGCGCGCGGCGGCAGCCAGGCACCCTCCCCGCCGGGCCCCGCTCCGCTCCCCCAGGTCCACCCCTTCCCAAACCAGTCCCGACAGGTGACCGCTCCGCGGCTCCAAGCCCTTCTTCCTGGCCAACAGAGAAAAATAAAGTTTCGTTCTGTACACCGCCTCCCGCCCCGCGCCCCACTTTCTGAGGAACGGGGAGCCCTTTCTCTCCTAGCTCCTTCTCCCCACATCTGGGAGCAATGTAGGCAGCGCAACCACACAAATGGCCTCGCACCTTTCCCAAATCGGGATTCCAGAGCGATCCACTCAACGAGCCTCAGTGATTAAATAAAGCAAAAATTAAAAAATGAATAATAACGAATTTATAGACTCCACCATTCCTAGAGCAACCTTTTTCCCATCTGGCTGCAGAAGCCACTGCCTGGATTCCTAGGAAGATCTCGAATCCCAGTAACTCCTGAATTAGCCTAGTGTCTTTCCCCTTCCTCTTCCCACCCCCAACCCCTGTTCACGCTCTCATGGTAATTTTTTTTTTTTTTAATCTTTAGGGAAAGTAGAATTACAAGGAAAACGCCTAGAGATTGAACATTCGGTGCCCAAAAAACAAAGGTAGGAAAGAGCTCTTTTCTGGGGGGGTGGGGGGGCCGCGGGGGTGTGCTGAGAAGCTGTGTTCAGGGGTCCATAGCGTCTCCAGTGGAAGAAACCCATTACTGGTCTTTCCCACCCCCAACTCCGGATGTTGGGGGCAGGGAGGGAAGATTGGCCAAGATCTTGTAATGGGTGGTTTACAGCTTGTAAAAAAAAATAAGTTGGGGCTGGGGTGGGCTAAAAGATGTTGCTTGTAGAATTAAAGGGGAAAGAAAATCAATAGGGGAGAAACCTTTTGGAGTTTGTTCAACTTGTGGGGCCGTTTTTTGTGGTGAACCTTAAAATCTTCGAAGAGTTCAGACTCAGGGCGATTTCTGCAACTTCGTAGCAGGCCTCATTTTCTGTTTTTCCCACTCTTTCCACACCATAATTCTTAAGTGGATTGCCCTTCTACTCCTAAGTGATGTGGAATCAGTTTCCCGTCCCCCAAAGAATCCCCTTATGCTTGTATTTTATTTATATTTCTGCAACAGGCAAAGACTTTATTTTCCATGGACCCCCCCACCCCCAATCCCTCATATTTCACATCATCCTTCTCCCCAACTGGATTTTCCAAAGAATATGCCTTGGCTGTACTATCCTTTTCGAGCCCCCCTACCCCCACTCCTTCAGCCCATTGTTACAAGGGGACCATCTGGGGTGAGAGCTTTGTGTTGAGGCTGTGAGCTGGGGCTCTTTGGAGGGTCTAGAACTCCGTGGATGAATTGAATGGGGTGTGTGTGTGTGTGTGTGTGTGTGTGTGTTCCAGTACCCTCTCTCTATTCTCTCTCTTCAGCAAAATGGGGTACCTCCATCATGCTTACCGAGAATTCATGGTGGATTTCAAATATTGCATTGAACTCTGAAATCTTTCCTTGAACTCTGGCTGGGAAGTGTAAGGGCAGAGTCTTTCCACTTTTCTCAAATCAGACTTTAAACATGTTGACAGTGTAGAGTTTGCTCTCATGTCCCAAGTTGAAAAGCAGCTCCCAGTAAATCTTTGATCCTCCTCACCCCCCATTTCAACTGAAAACTTGGTACAATTCAGAATAGTCTCTGGCCTTTTCCGGGTGGGTAGATGGGGGATAGTGACTGCTTTTTTGGGGGGACGATTAAGAGGGCCTAGAAAGTATAATGTAAGATAAAAATCTATTTAGTGGTTTATCTTGATATTTAAGTAACTTGGAACTATTGTGTCTATAGATCAATATGGCTTGTTACTACGTTTATAGAGCTTGCGATTTAACTTCAAATGCTTAAAATATAGTGTTATTGGAAAGGCAATTAGAGTTAGGTGTAAAGAGGTAATAAAATGGGAAGGAAGAAAAGAAGTCTTACTTGCTATTTTGAAACATTTTCTGGAGATGTGACCAAGGAAGATACACTGACACCAGCAGGTTTATTGAAAAGGATATGGATATTTGAACTGAAAGCTGAGTGTTGATGAAAAATATCCAGAATAAATGGAATTCTAAGATATGTGAATTTTTTCTTTTGCTCTTGAGGATGGTTTAAATTTTAGGGAATAAAGTGAAAAGCAAGAGAAATGGCAAAACGTGATGAAATGGAACTCAAAACATTTATATTTTTTCATGGTGCCCTGTATTTATGAATCTTTTTCCCCAAGCCATTTGCTTGCTTTTAAGCCATTTCTAGGCTCCTTCTTGTTCCCTCCAAAATGCATTACTGAGGGCTCTTTTTTGAGTTGGAATGGAGAGGGGGTTTGTGAGAAGACTGGGTAAAAAAAAATCTCTGTCCACACCCATATTAAATTAGATCTTTTGTGTGTTCTCCCCCTTCCTGAAATAATTTTTTTAGCCCAAACATTGAGTCAATTGTGTTTTCTTTGCTTTTTATTTTGGTTGGTGGTGAGAAGGCACTTCATTTTTCTAGAATGAATCAATTTTTGAAGTCTCAAGATTTAAAAAAGAAAGAGTTTGTTTTCATTAAGTCAGTTTGCTCTATCATTTTGTGTCTTTGAGGAAGTATGTTGTGGTATGTGTCTTTAGTCTGTGTCTGAAAAGTGTTTCGTCAGTTAGGTTTGTTACTGACTTTTTCCATCATCTCATGGATGTATAGAACAGGAAATAGTTAATTATGACTAACACATTCTAAGCAAAATGAACTACACAAATAATATTTTGTGTATATATGTACTCTTGTATTTTCCTTATGAACTCTTCTTGAGGCATTCAGTTCCAAATGAACTATGATTTCAGTTTCTAAGATAATTCATAAAAACCCAACAACTAAATGTTCCTGGTGGTTTTGTTTTTTTAAGAGGGGGAAATCAAACAAAAGATATGCTATAACAATACCTCTTAATGTATTTTGTTCTCAGTTTGAATTTGATACATATAATTTGTACCTTTTTAAGAACTCAAGAGGCCGAACACTATGCATTTCAACTGAAAACAGCAATTAGCTTGAATTTTTTAAATGAGGTGATATTAAATTTCTCAGAGATCACCATCTCAAACCCCCTTTTAGTGTTGGAATTTGGTTAACAATTTGTGCTTGTTTGTTGAGAATTTGTTTATGTTCACTGCCAGATATTGAGACAAAAGAGAAAAACCAAATACATTTAAAAACAGTTGTGGAAAGGGCTTGTATATGTTTTATTCTGAGAGACCGAGGAGTAGTTGAGGTAAAGGGGGTACCATTTTAGTGTGACTTGATTACTTTGAGACATGATTTGCTTTTTAAGGGAATTAAACCTTTGTTACGCTTGCCACTGTGGTGTGCCTTTTTCTAGAGGAATGTGACCTAAAGATAGCATATTCACTGTCAACTGGTGTCATCAAAATAAAAGGTGTTACTGTTAAGAAAAAAATGAAAGAGATGCACTGAATCATTTTTTTAAAGGTGAAATGTGTTCACAGTAAGGAATTCTAAGTTTGGTGATTTCTTTAGGCAGATTAATGGTCCTTCTTTCCTTTTCCTCTGTGTTGACTTAAAATGAGGTGGGCTAGCTCCCTTAAATTTCCACCTATTAAACAAAATTAGTTTTATAAACCATTCATAAAATTGAGAACTCTCAAAAGAAAGTGTCCAAACTTGATTCCTATTTTTACAGTTTAATTTTCTGAAGTTAACAGCTTTAAAAATCTGTGAAGGGATGTCTTATAAATGGCAAAAAATATTTTAAATATATTTTAACAATGGTTTCTCGAGGTTCTGAAGAAATCACTGGATCACTAAACGTTTTCAAAACAACCTAAAAATTGCCTTCAGAAATGGATTTGCACTTAAGAAAACAAAAACAAAAACAAAAACAAACCCACCTTGTACTTTGGGGCTGAAAATGAATGAAGAGGGGTTAAAAAACAAGGGAATGAAAACTATTAGAGCAGCAGGGTTTTCAGGCACTTTTACTTTAATGGTTGTAATTATGGATTAGTATCCAAATGAAAAAGTTTTTAACTCATAAGAGGTAAAAGATACATGTGACTGCTATTCAACAAGAAAGTTTGAAGTAGAAACAATTGATTACTCATTTAAAAAGGTTTTCTTATTAATATTAGGTTAGAATTTTTTTTTTTTTTTTGCTTTACA